CAGATAAGCTGTGTGGGCCTAAACTGGAGCTTCCCTGTGGCTCCATTAACACAAACAACAGTCCTTGTGTTTGTTGCATATAGACTATATCTCAATTTGTCACTGTTTCATTGAGAGTATGTTCTGTTCAGAGGGACGTGAACTATCCTTCCTGTGAAACAGGTTTGTTTTTAACACCTTCATATAACATAAGCAGCACTGACAGAAACTGATTGGGGCTCTCTGAGACAGGCAGCAGCATGACATATTGGGTTGTTTGATAATAAATGGTGATGAAATGCCCTCAGATACAGATAACGTAGTAGACAAGAAGGACAACAGGTCCTCGCTGGTCTGCTTTTTCAAAAGCTGGTCCGAGGGGACGGACCAGATGTAGAAGGATTTACTGAGGTAGTAGTCCTCTATTAAACCTGGTGATGGCTGCTGGAATTAATAATTCAGTAATCCCTCTGGATCTACTACAAAAAAAATAGATCCTGCATTATTTAAAGGGCACACTGAATTAATTAGAAATATGAATTAATGATGAGATTATCCTAAGCATTCAACTTAAATCCCCGGCAGTAGCACTCCAGCAATCAAGGACAAATCACTTTTTACTGTAGGTTTTACTCACCCAAAAAAATTGCTCTGCTTGGAAGACCGAGGCTGTGAAATAAGCCAAGCGCTGTAATTGCTATTCAGGGAGCATCTCAATGTCGTTGCTGCAGCCGGGGGTAGTATTACCGGAGACCTACATCTTTCAGTCACCATCAAAAACAATAACGATTCTTTGCTGAGTTTCATTTGATCCTTTTGACTCTGCTGCCTGTCGTATGTTATTATGTTATTACGCCCGACATATTATGTTTTGATCAGTGGCCTCGCTTCCTGTGTGACACACAATGCTTCAGCTTCAACACAATCACATTTTTGGTACAGATCTGCTTGTTTTATTAAAGGCTCTAATTTTACATGTTGTCTTTTAAAAGCAAGGTATGCAGATGTTAATATCATCTAAGCTACTTTCCCCAACCAGTATGATAAGATGCTTCCTCCTGTTGAAAGACCAAAAAGTATTCGCAACTGGTGAAGAGCTGCAGACATTGATAAATGACTCAGATGTGATGCATGCTTTCAAGTGGCTTCGTTGCAGTCCCTCATATCTGCCAAACTGTCTCAAAGCTCCACCTCTTCTCTTTTGTCTGCACTGACTCTTGTCTTGTATTATTAATGACTGCAGTCTGCATGATGAGTGAGGACACAGACAAACAAGAGCTGTAGAGAACGTCCCCTGTAGAGAAGCAGGGGACGTTGTATTCTGTCCATCTCTTTTAGAAACATTACAGCTGTAAAACGGGAGAGTCATAGAAAGTTTTAAAAACAGACTCTGGCAAATGTTACAAACTGTTTGGATTCCCATGCTTTTTTTTACCTTCATTTATTCAGCAGGGCGTTTCACTGAGAGCAATGCTCTCTTTTTCAGAAATGCCTTGATCACATTCACACAGTTACACCTGGGAGCTGCCCAGTACAACATTGGGGTTAATTCAGGGCTTTTAGGCCACCACCACTGCCCTAATTGCATTTTAGTAATTCATTTTAAACGGTTTGATGTGGATAAAAATCCAGTGATGTTTGCCTCTGGGGATAGAAACTAAACCTAAACTGCCTCAAATACCAATTAAAATGTGGTACTTTCTGACTTTCTGTGCAAATCTTAGATGAATTCGATTTGAAGAGTTATTTTGCAACTTACTGACATTCAAAAATATTCTCTTAAGTTGATCAATAGTCAAAGCCACCTAAGTGAGCACTAATCACGAAACACTGCTGTAACATTATCCCTGTCTGACAAGAAAATAATGAGGCTAGAATATTCTAATGACTTCATGTGATATGAAAACTACTGTAATTGTGACGATGCTTCCCGATCCAAAACCAATTTATTGACTTTAACACATTTGCCAATCCCTGACCAACAGTGCATTAACCTACTTTACAGAGAAGGGTTTTCTTTCTGTGCTCATTGAGGCGTTTGTTTGTTTGTTTATGAAAGCTGTGTAACACAAACTCATTCTGGTAATTGGGGTTTGTGTCTCTTTGGGTGTCACACCGTTAAGTCAGGCCCAGAACAGCAGCCCTTTACTGATAATTATACATCACCACAAGTCATTCCCACACCCACGTACAGACATGCTCAAACAGAAGGCCGTAATCGTAAAAGTCATTGTTTTTGTTCTGAGCACATGCACTACAGTTTCTATGGGTGTCTGTTGTTTAGATTTCGAAGCAGCTGTCAAATGGCAGCTCAGTTGTGTCACCATCATCCATTCTGAGCATGCCCAGGAGAGTTGACCCACTTCAGGTTGCAATTCGTCTCAGTGGCATCCTCCTTCACTTCTTTACGTGTTTCCTGCCACTGTCAGCATGAATAAGATCCGTTCAGATGACCTCAAAAGGGATGCATTCAATTGATGGAATATTGAGACATTATTTCGTTCCGGCCAACCAAATCTTGGTAAAAGCAGTGACCTTCTGTCAAGGGCAGAGCCGGCGGTTGAATGAGCCAGACAGCAGCTGCACAACACAAGAGCCAGAGACATGGAACAGCCACATTAGCTTTCTTGCTAAGGTTTCCTTCATATCTAACTTAGAATCATGAGCACACGGCTTGTCCTGCACCCTAGCTTGTTGAATAAGCGATCAAAGAAACATTCACCGGGGCTTTTGTTCTTCACTTTGCAGGCTAATTAGCTACTCAGCTGCAGCATTTTAAACAGTATGTAAATGTACCTGCAGATGTCACCTTGGCCTTTTTAGATGCTTTTGTTCTTCAATACCATGAACAACACACTGCTTGCTCATGATATGTAGGCTAGAAATTTGTACAAACAATTGTACAAATGGGGATAACCCTGCACTCTGTTAGACAGGTTCTCGTCATGTTATTGGTCCTGGTTGTACATGCAAAAAATGACAGAAGCATTTTTAAGAATGATTAAAAAACTAACTTGAGAAAGAAGTTCAAACCTTGCCTCTGCACAGCTGTTGCATTGTCGGTTTCAGAAAGTTGGTAATTTGTCGGACACAGCCCCCCAGTGAGCTCCTTACGCTGCAGCATGGAAGTTGGCCATTTTCCCTTCAAACACTTATTCAATGATGTTTCCAAGGAAGCAGGCAGACGGATATTATATATAAGAAATATGATATCAAAATCAACTGGACACATGGCTTCTGCAATTAAATATTTTCTTAAGGTGTCCCCCAGGGATCAAGGCTTGGACCCTTACTGCTTTTACTTTTTGTTACCTAACTTCCTTGTACAGTATAAGACAGGCTTGATTTGTAACGGCCCATTCAGACTAGCTATCTGCATGGGGCCTGAACAAGACCTGTGGTGCGTGATGATAAGCAATTGATTCCAAAAGTGGAGATTACCAGTAGCAGATGACCGTCATGTTCACAATGAGTGGAGGCGGAGCAAATTGAGTGTATTCGTGAGAGATTAGATATCCTTGTGCATCACAAATTAGGAGGATAATCTCTATTAAATGAAACAAAAGATAATCTGTTACAAGTATAATGTTGATATCCACTCATACTGATATTAGTGATCCAGCACAAGCATATCTATGACTGAGAGAAAAATAACTGTAATGTTCTTACTCGCAAGATACAAATTATTTAAGTAAGCGTCTGTTAGTCTGGTACCCTCCATATGAAGAAAAATAAATAAAAACAGGTTAACAGCTATATACAAACAAGTGGGCATATTTTGGGAAACTGTAAGGGAGAAAGAACAAGATGGATTGAACTGGCTTTTTTTAAATCCATCTAAATTGAATAAAGGTGCACACAACACCATCCTCAAGTCGAAAGGGGTGCAAATGTTGAAAGGCGTGCTGAAGCTTCATCAACCTCGGAGCCAAATTCAATTCCCTGCCAGCTTTATGAAAGCAGACTAGACATTTTGACATTTCATTAGGTTAGCATGGTAGAAGTCTAGCATAGAGAAAAGAATATGCTCTTTATTGTGCAGCTACACAGAAAACACATCACACATTCTGGGAGATAAAAGACAGACTTTTCTTATATTGCATGCCGACATGTACAACATCTATTCCAGCCTCATCCAAAATCCAATGAAATTCTTCACGGGAAGTTCCTTTGAATGAGCAGCAGCACTGCTGCTTTTTCATGGATTTGGATGAGGCTGGATGTTGGATGGCATGAAAAAGCACTGCTACTTTTTCATGCCGTCCAACAGGAAGGACAGAGCAACATAATATATCTATCTACCTATCTAACACAACCTCCCAGCTATTGGCTCTGAGCTGTGGAGTACAGGCATATTCATTGAGATCTGCACATGACTCGGTCAAACTCGGTCACATTCAGCCTCTACCTCAATCGAGGGACTTTTTGACGACATACTTTATCTATTATGTCAGATGTAATAAGCCAATTCTAAAACCAACACTAAAAGGATGTGGCAAAACAACATCTGCCACAAGTGAAACATTGTGAATGGAAGAACTTCGTTCCAAATATTCCCTTTAAATATTTCGTATCTAAAACACGACGCTACAATTCAGTGAAATCTTGCTGATCCACCAGTTAGTTTGGTGGCTGTTGAGACTCACTGGAAGTGAAAATAAATTTCCAGAAAGCAATAATAATAACACTGTTCCTACAAAAGAACACTGAATTTCCATAAGCCTGTAACGGCAGTTCATTTTTGGGAGAAAGGCCAACTAATGCCGTGAGTTGTGGCCTCATTACCAGCAGGAGGTGAGCTCTACTTAGGGAGAGACTTGTTATGTATGCACATACCAAACAGACTGAAAGAAAGCTCCCCGAAAAAAATCCTTATTAAACAAAGGCAACTATGCAGCAGGGGCACACTTTAGCATCCGAGACTCAAAAGCTCTTATCTGCAGTTGAATAGTTGGCAAGATACACTCATTAGCATTTTAATGGGTTGAAATGGAAAGCATAAATAAAAACAAATGCACTTATTCACACAAATCATGTGTTTATTAAATGTAAAGACTGCCATGTTAAACCTTCAAACAGGCTGAGCATATGGTACAGGTTGAATTAATTCAAGAGCAGAGGGATTGAAGCCACCAGCAGTTTACGTCCTCGTCGACCGCAAGCCTTTTGATTTGCATGTATTTATATGCTGATTGCACCACCTCACTAAAGGTAACTGTCACCGCACGCTGCACAGATATGTTGGTTCTGCCTGCAGACTGTGCAGATAAATGCATTTAAGACAAATCACAAAAGAGAGCAAAACTATAATGAACACTGAGGGTGCAGTGATGCAGATTTGTTCCCGCAGAGTGAAAATGTGCTTCATGCAATACTAATAGCCAAATAACTATTATCTATGTAAAGGTATAGAGGAGGACGTCACTCTCCCTCTGTGTGTGTTATTATCCAAGCTTCTCCTTGCTTTGTTGACATATGCGGGCCAACCACGTGTACTATTAGTGCATGTGAGCGTGCCCCACTGGTTAGCGCACGGCTGCTGCTCTGCCCTGATCTCTTGTGGAAGTTTACAGCTGATAAAGCAGCCCTGACTGACAGTGCAGCTGCTCCACCCACTGATTTACACTCAGGTAAACACTGTTAACAGTGTCAGCACAGTTACCACTCTGTTTTGCATTTAGCACCTGTAAAAGTTTATTGAGATGGTGCTTTTAACTGGCCACTAGAAATACTGCAGTAGTGTCTTCTTTCAATTAGTGCATTCTTTCAATTCAATTCAATTTATTTTGTGAAGCCCAAAATCACAAATTTGCCTCAGAGGGCTTTACAATCCTTACAACATCCTCTGACCCACGACCTTCACATCGGTACATGAAAAACACCCTAAAAACACTCTTAGGCTGGGAGAAAAAAAGGAAGAAGAAAGAAAGACGAAGGAAAACTCCCCTCTTTGGATGTAGTATGTGACCAGTAGCAGTATGAAATCCACCTCGATCTCTGCTTCCTTTACTTTATCATCTTCACACACACACACACACACACACATGCACACTCACTCAAATTGAAACAGATGGGATGCGCTTCCCTTCACACGGTACACTGCAAGTAAACATCAAAAACAACAGTGTGGAGCAACAGAGGAACAGCAGGGAGGGGGAGTAAAAGAAACCGTAAGTTGTCACAAGGAAGCCAAATCTTTGCCTTTTGAAGTTTCTTCACAGGCCGTTTTTTGTCCTTTTTTTTTTTTTTTACAAGCACAGTTGTAATTATACACTCATGATGCTTTATGTATGTGGAGCAGCGATGATCAGTGGATTTTCTGGACCACAGCACAATTAGCTTCTACTCAAGAAAGGTCGGACGAGATCTGAAAGATCTCCAACATGAAGCGTAGCTGCTGGTTTAAGTCTTTACCTGGCACAGTTAAACATCTTCACACCCCACAACAGGAGTCAGACAGTGACCCATCTCCCTCTTCGTTGCTCATTTAGGCTCACAAACACTTCCCCTCTGCCATGTATTCATCTACTGGCCTTCGTGCTGCCCTGTCTATGGCTATTGATCCACCAGCACTCCCAGCGCTAATTTAGTGCCCATGATCCGGTCTGTCATGAGGGAAGCAGGACGGGGGTATTGATTAACGTACAGTTCTGCTCAGGGCGCTGCTGCTGCACCACTCCACGACAAAGGGGTCTAATTAACTTCCCAAGCTCTTACAGCCTTGCATTTAGATTTGTCTTGCACACTCATATTTTCTCTGCAGTGTTGACCACACTGAGACAGTAGATGTGATTCAGTTCCAAGTGCAGTCATCAATTCTTAAAAGCACAGTACATGTACTAATGGTGCTGCTAGGCAGTTTACTGTAAATTAAAGCATCAACCCAATTCCATATATACTCCCTTAGTGCATAAAAATGTCTCACTGTTCCATTGCCAATAGCATATAACAACATTTAATACATTATCGAAAAAATCATATAGTAGCAGCAAATCATACTGTAGTAATACCTTGTTTTTTACTATAACATGAGGACATCATTATGCTGACGAGGAAGAACATGATGGGGAACGTTGTTCTGAACGCAATCATTCTGAAAAGTTGTATTCAATCTTGTATTAAATTAGAAATACAAAACAAAAAACAAACCGACAGTTAAAAAAAGACTAAAGCAATAGAGCAGATCTGCTATCAACATACTATCAAACACATTTGAGTGTTGCTTTAATTCCCCCATGTTGAAATATATGTTGTGATCAAACCATTTAAAGCTAATAATAATAATAACTCTTTTCATACAAGAGATGTTCTCTAAAAAAACATTCAACAAGGGCAGAAAATTAGATTAAATTAGACAATAAAAAGACACTAGATGCTAAGAAATGTAAGTGAAATGTAGAAGATCTGAGAGATCTGAGAGCTCATGAAGGCAATGTGAGTGTGAATGTAGGCCATTCCCAAACCATTTAGAGCTTTAAAAACAAGTAAAGGACCTTAAAATATATATATATTTTAATACAACAAATAAAGCAGCGTTGGTGTTGGTGGTGCATTTTCTGCTGCAATGCTGCCACCCAGTGACTCTCTGAGGTAGTGATCCAGATGACGCTAATATTTGCAGTTATTCACTGACACCAGAGCTTTTTATTTGACAAAATGTAAAGACACCACAAATCAACACAGTAGAATCTTGATAAAAACAATAACAAAAAATTAAACATATTTGCTGACATGAAAAAGAAAAATTAAATTCAGTAAAGTAGGATTTTGTTTAACGAACATAAAACATGATAAAAACACGTCTGAGCCTTGAATTTAAAAATAAAAAAACCTCTCGCCTTAAAAATAGATATATATATTTTGCATTAAGCGTGATGAGCATGTTCACTGTTGCAGTGTGTGAATGTGAGAGAACGCTGCAGCTTTCACTGCAGTCACAAAGAACTAACAAATAGCATAGCACCAAAAGACACGAACTGTGAATGTGCTTGTATATTATTAGGGGTTATTTGAAATGAGGGATGAACAGTCTTGTCTCATGGATCAAAGAGATTCTGCAGGTTTATATTCAGGCACAAACTGCAGCGGCTGACTTCACTCATTTAGAGGATCATCTGGAATGTATCGGTGAAATCATCAGTGCTTGGTTAAGATGAAAACAGACAATTTCAGCACAAGGCACATGGTTGCACAATACCTTCTTTTTTCAAATAACCCAGACTTTGAACATTTCTAAACAAGCTGTTTTGAAAGTGTACTTCTGTTAATAGCCCATTAAATTCTGTATTTAATTCATATTAAAAGTCCAATTACTAAAAACAGTAAACAGTGACCTATTATGTTGTAAAAGTGCTTCAAAATCCTAAATGCACATTTAAACAACCGATGCAATTCATAACATAAAGCAAGATAATGCAGCTTACAATAACAACACCATATAAATGCAACATCTTAAACAAATTCACCATAGATTATCTAAAAATATTTTCACGAAAGGCACTTGAGGCAGGTAACATTGAGTTTCATGATGCTTCTCTTGGGAAGATTTTCAAAAATTGACCTTTTAAGCCTCAGATCAATGAGGTTTTTTTTGACCTGCAGGTTAGGTTCTTGCACAAATATTAAAACAATTACAAAAGTGTAGTGACAGCATTTTCAACTTTTAAATTGACATACAGTGTAAAATGCATCCATCATCCTTAAGGAAAGTATTACATTGTTCCTTGCACAATTTTAGATTAATACTCCGGTGTTTTGAGCATTCGATTTGATCAGAGCATGTTATCAGTACTTAAAAAGGCACTTCTACGTGAGGGCTTGTTTGATAAGCTACCTAGTGAGACAGAAAAGGCCAATAACCCAAAGTAGGGCACACCATTTTAGACAATCTCGCAACAAAGTGTGACTTTCCTATTCACAGTACACATATCTCCTCTGATATTTTCCAGCATAGGTATAGGTCAACTACATATTAACCCAAAATGTACACTTCAACTCACTGTCCAACACTGGCTGAACCCTTGTCTACCAGTGTTAGACATAATTTGGATCCGGTACAATGTCAGTATAACTATGACGATGAGACAGGAGGTCAATCATTTAAAAAAAAACAAAAAACATAATACCTAACACCGGTGAACAATCTCAAAGTTAAAGCTTGATTTAAAATAAATGATTTTTCCACTGAAGTGAATCTTTTGGCTTCTTTCTCTGTTCAGAAGTGTGAGATGAAACAGTCAGTAAGAACACCAGATAAAGATTAGCTACCCTCATTAGCCCAATTCAGCTTTATAAAAGCAGATCAAAGGCACCAGTTATAATCTCAGAAAATCTCCACGGTAGTTCACAACAATGCCTAAAGCATTGCTGAAAAATAATATTAACTCAGTCATCAACCTGTAGTGATCAGACAAGATATGTCCTCATATGTGCTGTATAGACTTTCTCAAGCTTTGAAGCAAATTGCATTGAAAAAATTGAGGAATCCACAATTAAAATGCATGTAAAACATGTTTGTCTGTATTTGGGAGAAGATTCTGTTTGTCTGGTTCTGTTTGTGCTTTCAGTTTTTATTTGAACACATCAGCTTATGTGTGTTCACTTGAAGGCTCGTCGGGCACTGGAAGGTTAAAATGCTTAAATATATCCAAACGCTCAAGTGTCATTGTCCCTTCTATTCAGGCTGAAACACAAGCCGTGTCCCAGGTCAGAGGCCGGGTCCTCTGAAGGCCCTCATGTTACAGACCACCCGAACCTGCTCCTCCAAACTGAGACAGTCTCGCCACTCAGAGGTCAAAACTAATGATGCGTTCAGGCAGTCCACGTCAATCATAAAGTAGAAACAAGAAGTTTGTACTGGCAGCTGACGTGTAAAATGCAGTGACAAACTGGAACAGATTGCTGTTTCACAAGACAACCAGCAACAGTGTTCTAAAGATAAGCACATTTTTACATTGACCTTCATCATTTTTTTCCGTTATGTCTTCGGATTAACAACATGTCAGGCTGCCATCAACAACAAACAGTGGAGAGGTTATGTTCAGTTTCTATTACACATTGCCATGTTTTTATTGGGCCATTCCAGGTGCTGACCACCAAAACCAAGCAAAGTACTCACTTTACGAAAAGAAAAGGATTGCCTGAACGCTGCATTGAACAATAAAACGTACAGTTTTAGGGGTTTAAAGGCAACATAACTCGGCCAAAGGCTGCATTTCAGCGGCCTGCAAGGATTTGGTCTCCAGCTAAATTTGCTAAAAGGGTTAATACGCCTCTAATAACCTCTACCATAGATACACAATACACTCTTATTTACACATTTCAATAGGAAACAACACTGCATACACCAGGCATTTTTTTACTGATTAATCAACCAAAGGGGGGAAAATAATAATAATTTAAAGTTCAATCTTTCGTTCAAATTAAATTAATTTAAATTAACCTTTTATTTGGTGGACAACATCTCAGATTTTCATTATATATTTTGTACAAGGTAAAAAAAAGTTATGCTATTGAAGTCAACTGCAGCTTGTTAAAGCACTACACATGTGCAGAAGGCTTAAGATGCAGTAACGAAGCTCTTCTTTGGTAGAACAAATAGGATAAAATTATAGTTTTATGATAGAAACTTAAAGATTGTGTATTTCAGTGTAAATATGTTTCATTCCACCACTAAACAGTACCTTTGGTTAAAAACCCTTCCACCGGGTTTGGTATGCAGAGACGCACAGACTTGGCTTTGTCATGCCACTGAAGTAAACAAGGTTTCCGACGCCGGGTTTTCTAGGTTTTGTTTTTCCGGCAAAGGATCGTCAGCATCCAGGTCGATTGTGGAAATGATAGCTGTTTTAAGTCGCTGAGGGTTAGAGAAGGCAACACTTTAGAAACAGACCTTTTCAGAAAAAAATCATTCAAGCACATCTGGACAGCCAGGCACAAAGAGACTAGAGTAGACTCAAATATCAACGAGGATGGATTGCCATGATATTTTGTAGAGACATTCATGAACCCCAGAGGATGGGGTCAACTGTCTTCTGTGTGTTATTCTAGTTAACACCATGAGGTTTACATTTTTTGTTTTATCGTGAAATGTCTTGCGTCACCACCTGGACAAAATAAAATTTTGTTCAAGATTTTGGTTTGTGACCAAATACCTGCACAACAAATGAGATTCCCATCAGCCTCAGCTGTATATACGTTACCGCTAGCATGGTTTCAAACATTAAGACTTGTTTAATGGTAGAGAAGCACCTGAAGAGCTATTGTCTGATCAAATAAGTTCAGAATGGGCCAGTTGATAAAGTCTAAACTGCTGCTCCAGCACTATTCTTATTCTATACTTAACACCGATTGGTGTCCCGATGAACTTTGAAGAAAGCACTGGATTCAGAGTTCGATGCAGTAGAGTTTACTCTTCAACAAATAATTCCACCCGAGTTGCTCTCCAGACAACAACTGATTTATTCTGTTCTTTACATCGTCTTATATAGTGTGGCTGACAACGCCCTTTCCCTTTTAAGCTCTTCCTCCGTTTCCTTTCATTCGTCAATAGTTTCCAATCAAACCCAGTAAATCACAGAGTGTGTCACTTTCCCTGTCATGTGGGTGTGAGTGATGTTCGTATGGATTCTAATGTGTGTATTGCATGTACCAGTTTGTCATAGTCAGCTCTATCTTTTCAGTGGGAGTTGAAAGACTTTTCCTGTTGAGCCCAGCACAGCTCCCCCTTCTATCACAGCCCGAGCATCTTTACCCAAGAGACTTGGCCGATGTCATATATGTGAATTTTAAACATTTAGATATAATTAAATAAATAGAACTAAACGATGGTGCTATTTATGATGAATCAAACTCCAACACTATCCACATGCTTCATTTATTTGTCTGAATAATGAGTCTTGAACTCACCTGTAGAAGTGAGCCTTTGTGGCTACAGATCTCTTGAATGGCTCCGAGCGGGATCCACACAATGGAGACCAGTGAGATGCCCCAGCCCACCCCTTCAGCCCACCCTGGGTATGTGTACTTCCCATAGTGAGCAGGAGTGTATTGGACCATGCTGAAGATCAGTATACACTATGTAGGAAAAGGATAGTCTTCAAATTTAATGAAATAACCATTATGATTAATATTATTGTACAGATAATCCTCTTCAAACCTCACCAGCACCAATAGAGGAGACAGCAGCAGCCAACACACACGAAAGTAGATGTTTGGAGTTTTTCCATGCATCCTGTTGACCATTAGGCAGAGCCGTGGGACACCTGATGGAAAGAAAAAGAGCTGACTAAACACTTGAGATAACTACTAATACAGATTTCCTCCTATTGCGGATATGAAAGACGTTTAGAATTCAGTTTCAATAATTAGCCAGCCACAGCAAAGTCTAAAACCATAAACATGACTTCTTATTTTGAACTTTATGTGGATCTTACCAAAGATCCAACATACAGCGACAATTTCAAAGAAAGCCAGGAACACGAGGGAGACCACAGCGGTGTAGTGGTCCATCAGCTGAAACACATAGATGCCTCCCTGTGCAGGGGGGGGAGGAGAGAGAGAGAGAGAGAGAGAGAGAGAGAGAGAGAGGGGAAGACCAGACTGTCAGTGACACAACTGTTGCCACATGTAGGCTACCAAATATCCTCAGATATGTTACTCTCACAAGTAAAAGAGTTTTGCTGTGAAATACTGTACCTTGGTTACATGAGGAATCCCCAGGATAAAGCCAATGATGCACATAACCAGGGTCAGCAGCTCCTCTCTCTTTAGGAAACGCAGAACTTGTGGGCCAAACTCATCTTTTATGAACGTTATAGCCACCTCAATGTTGGCAAACTGCGGCACACAGAAAACACATGCTGCGTTTTTAAAATAGTAATCCCTGTGTAAAACAATGCGGTTTCCTCTTGACTTGTGCCTTTGAGACATTCTGGCATCTTTGTTTGGGGGTGTAATTATGAGGCTGTGCAAAGAGCTGGATAACTATGACGACAGAGTTGAATGTGCAAGGAGTTAAAAAAAGAAACTGTATTTAGCCGTATCATGAAAGGAGTTGTTTTAAATATGAATGTTCAAATGGACAGCTCATTTTGACCATCATTCATTTTGACCATCATCACTGCAAAATTCAATTTCTCAAGTACTTACAACCAAATACCTGCAAAACTGGTATTTCATTTAGTTATGCTTAGCAAATGTGAACATGCTAAACTAAGATGGTGCTAGCACTTGAGCATTGTTGTTGTGAGCATGTTAACATGTCATGTTAGCATATTAGCTCAAAGCACAGCTGTGCATGTGTGCAGACTCACAGAGGCGTTAGCAGCATGGCTGTAGACGCTTGTTATTTGGTCTGGTTGGATGATGTGTTCATCTTTTAGCATAGAGCAAAATGAGATATCAATCACCTAAATCACCTAAAAGATTGTACTATCTATTATACTTAACTATCATTGTACCAATATGTAGCCTGACCATTTTCAATACAACTTAAACTTATCAGCTACATAAGTCCTCAGCTTGTCAGATCTGGGAAAGGAATACAATTGAATTTATTGTACCAGTAGAAATACAGGGGGGAAAACTAAAGCTAACCACAGTCATTTTAATGTAGATTTTTACATTCATTTCACTTTATTTTGATGGCACAATCCTCCTAAATTGTAAGTGAGTAATCATGTCCATGGCCAAAAGGTGGACACGGTTATGTAAAACGGCTACTGAGAAATGGTTAGTCTGAATGTGCACAGTTGAGAAAAGCGAGTAGAAATCTTCTGTAATTGCTTTGACTACCTTAGTTAAGTAAATAAAATATCAGTTTTTCCTTTCCTCCAGACAAACTAAAGCCAAGTCCCTGTGTTTATGAGTGTTAGAGATGTTTACCTGGCTGTCCAGGCCCAGAGACAGCAGCATAAAGAAGAACAGAGGGGCCCACAGCTGAAAGACGGGCATGGTGGAGAGGACTTCAGGGTACACAACAAACACCAAACCAGGACCTGAAACATGATACAGTTAAGGTGTTGTTAATACTGAAAGATGCGAATGTACAGAAATATACACAAATTCAGCTGGTAGCTGCCAAGAAGTACACTTTAGTTTTTGCACAGATTAAACAAAGTAGATATTATGTGTTTATTTGCGAGCTTTAGAGGTGCTGGTAAGCCGTCTTTGTTACCTTTGGACCGAGCCAGGCTAGCTGTTACCCCCAGTTTTCATGCCAAGCTAAGCTAACCGGCTGCTGGCTTCAGTTACATATTCAAACAAATATCCCAAAATGTCAAACTATTCCTAAAAAGCCCAGCTGCTACTGTACATCCAAATAAGCTGTAGTTTAGTTTGGGGATCAACCAAGTTATTTTTTATTAAATTGCAGCTGTGGTTTCGCTTGAACCCAGTTATGTTTGTAGAACCAAACTAAACAAAATCCCACAAGAGGTCATGACATTTCTTTGAACCACCCGTTGGCCTCACCTCATAGTACATCTATCTGCAGCTTACCAAAGCTAAACCTTTACCAGTTGGGATGAACGTTTTTTCAACAGTTGAACCGGTGAAATGCAATTTGACTAATATAATTACAGCTACAATTGTCTTCACAACCACTCGTTTTTTCAAGTGCTGGTTGAATAAGCTACTGGTATATGTTATATGTTATATACCAGTAGCAGTCAGTTCATTAAGGCTGCCAGACACAAGGTATTAAAGAGCACTATGGGATACTATGTCATGGAGGGACAATGTGACGAGACCAAATAATACTTTGTTGAGCTCTAATGTTAACAAAGAATGAATGATGGCGTGTAGTGGAGGAACCTTGTATTACCTTGTAAATAATGTATGCAGAGAATTTCAGGGGTTATTGTCCTGAAACTCAAACACTGAAATGATTTAGAGATATTACTTTTGAGAAGATGCAGAAAGGAATACAGAAAATACAGGGATTGGCCAACCATGTCTACGAGTGCGTATGAAACATTGCTCTTTTGAAGGAAATGTAAACAGTGATCAGCAAAACATGTTTTCGGGACGGTAGCTGTCATCCCACAGAGCAATTAGAGCTGCCACAGTGTTTTGATCACCTCACAGGATCCTGATCTGAACCAGGGGCGGAACAAAAGTTGTCTCTGTTTTTAATAATGCATTGCTTAACTGAGAGAGTTCCTGCTCCGATGTTATACGAGCATTTGGTTACTGAAGCCAAAACTCCCTCTGTTTTTTGTTGTTGTTTTTTCATTCAGGTAACTTAAAACCTTATCTCAACTCACTGCTGATCCAGACATCTGGCATCTTCAATCAAGGGATTTACATATCACTACAGTACACACACACACACTTAATAAAGTTGTGTTCATGTTGCAGCTACACATGGCTACAGTCCTAACAGCTAAAGGTTGCTTTAGCGGTTTAGAATGGCTGTGAAACAAACAAGAGACAGATTAAAGTTGAGGCAGAAAAGGCGGCGACATCCTTACTTTTCGTCTCTAGTATGGAACAAGCTCCAAAACACTGGATTCTACAATTCCCATAATGCAAATTAATAGTACGTTTAAACCCTACACATCCTATTTGTAATGCAGGCTTTACTCTAATGACATCATCAGGATATATTTTAGTTTTACTTATAAAGCTTCTCCACAGCCACAGAAGACATTGTACAACAGGCTGAGTGCTACTCCTCAACATTGGTAAACTGAATTTCATCTATAAAATAAGTGGAGTGTCGCTTTAAGAAATTGTATACTGCCACAAAATATCCCTGAGTGACCTGCACACTTCATATATCAAAAACAGATGTGCATATTTTGATATATGTGACTTATTTTTCCATGAAAAGAAGATAATTGTATACATCACATCAAGTCCAAAATATAACACAGCTATGAGATTGTGGTGCAATGCTCTTTCTGGGCTTGATGCTTACCATCTGTAGCTATGTTTTCCACTGGGAGGTTATGTATATGAGCCATGTAGCCAATAGCTGAGAAGATCACAAAGCCAGCCAGGATACTAGTGAATGAGTTGGCAATTACTACAATTAAAGCGTCCCTGGGAAAGAAGGAGGACAGAATAAACAATGTTAGTGCATTTACAGCATTTAGGCAGTGAAAACAAAGGTACTAGACTATGAAGCAGCCATTTGATCATCAAGACAATAGTCTGAAGCTTTAAACTGGAGCAACAAGCTCTTAGTTAGTCAGAAATTATTGTAAAATGTTTTAAATGAAAATAAAAAGTGTCTCTGGCAGGTACATAATGTAGGGCATCTAAGGGTTTCTGGTATAATGTTTTCCACATCCCACAGAGAAGCTGAGGCCATATCCTGCATTAAAACACCCCTTTTATTCTAAATGAAACCAGTAACTCTTCATTTCTCTCTGGTCGTAGCTGTGGATGTAATTGAGTCTAGCAGGCAGGGTCCATTCCAGGTCTCTGCAGGATGGGAGTAACCTTTCTAGAGAGCAGCTGAAGATATAGCAACAAAATCATCACAGCAAATGTGGAAAAAGAAGACCAAAAAGGCTTATTTAATAAACAATTTGCCTTCTTCTGCTGCAGCACAACTGAGAGCACTCGTGTTCAACTCGCAGCACATTGTCAGGTTTATAGTGGATGGTCTTGGAGTAACTTATAGGCTAAATATTGATTGTATTTTCAGTCAAGTGAATCAGTTGTATTTTTGGAGGTTTGCGATGGTGCCCTAATATGTACACTGAGGGAACAAACAAGAAACCAACACAGTTGATATTCACTTTCAAAGACACAGTACAGCTTTTCCAGATAGAGAGTTTTAAATCTTTACCTCATAATGTTGTTGCTGAACTTGTTGTAACTAGCCATCGAAATCATGGAGCCAAATGCTATTCCGATAGAGTTAAACACCTGAGCAGCGGCATTAACCCAGACCTATGATGGAGAGAAAGAAGAGCAGGAACACGATCAACTTCTGTGTAGTTTCATTGAATTTAGTTTTTTAAACTATGATCAGCTTTCACCATGAGTGATGGGTTCCTCCGAGAGCAAAAACATTTTTCAAGTGGGTTTTAGTGGGTTTTTGAAATGTGTTTGATTGCACATTTACTAATGAATATTTAATGGTAGTGAGAGATCTGAAATCACACTTTAAATATGTGTGTTCATTTTTCAATGAGCAGGATCACTGCTGTTTACATTTACACTACTCAACCTACGTTTAGTAGGCATCCAGCTTACTTGTTCTTGTACTTTTGAGTGGTCAAGAAAGACCCAGCTGTAGCCGGTCCAGACCATTGAGAGAGATCTGAAGCCCCTGCTCTGGATCTAGTTACGCTTTCTGTCCTGAAATTTTATTCTGGCAGCGGTTCCTAAAATCTTCAAAACCAAACTCGTCACTGTCTAAGATGTCCTGTTCATTGAGTTCATTGCTGCAATGATCTCCTGAATCGTACAAGTTAATCTACTATTTTCACCCGTTCATTAACAGTCTCACCTGTACTTCAAACAGTTTGCCCCAGACAGGCGTCACAAAGTAGAGGATACCATTCTTGGCTCCCGGAAGCTGCACATTATTGATGAGCAGGGCAAACAGGACGAAGTACGGAAATACAGTGGTGAAATACACAACCTGTGTGACACAGAAAGTGAGAAGCAGACTCTGATCAATGTGTGGGTTTGGGTCATTCAAGGGAATACCTTAAGGTCGCATTATTAAGTCAGGTCAAAACTTTACAGTTGATGAATTACTGCACAGTATCTAACATGCATGTTGGGAGCATATCCAATTCCAAAGCTCTTCTCTGTTTCATTTCATGTTCTGATTCTGAATTAGCTGAGCAAACATGTTTGTTTTGCATCTAAAGCTTGTCTTGTGTGTTTTTACACAAAAGTATATTCATCCTCTTCATAAGTATAAAACAAAAACACATAACAGAATAAGATGCATTTTAAAAAAGTGGATGGTACAAACACTTTCCGGAGTAAAGAACTTTTTTTAAATTTCATTCTGGAAAAAAAGAAAAATGACTTAGCCTATAGACGATAAACTACAAACTATAACCCTGTGATCAGCACAAAAATGATCACATTGGCTTAAAAACCTCCTTGTATTTATCTCTGACATTGCTGAACTACTAACATCAACTGTGACAAAATGCCAGAGGAGAGATGGTTTTCAAACAAAGACTGTGACATTACAACATTGCTACAACATTAAGCAGAATTGCCACTGTGCATAAACAAATCTTCTGACCTTGCCAGTGGATTTGATTCCTTTAAATATGCATAAATACACGATGACCCAGGAAAGAATTAGATAGCCGAAGAGTTCCCAGCATATGCCACCAGATTCTTCAATGCCACTGGTTTTCTGCAGAAGGCTGTGACTAGAAAAAAGGAAAAAGAAGCATGAAAATACAAATAACAAGTGATCCCCATTAGTGTATCCTTAAAGCCCCTGAAAACTTAAACTTTAAGAAAACTAAAACATAATTAGCTCTTGCTTGTTGATAGTTAAACAAACAAAGATGAGCTTGACCAACAGTAATGTTTCTAAACCATTTAGTCTCCAATGTTCAACCAGATAGGTGTAATTGTATTAGCTATTGAGCCTTAGGCTACGGCCATAAGGGCTCATGAAGGCATCGCAGGTATAACTGTAGGTGGTCATGACCATCACATAGCTTTCTTTGCCATTCACAACTTCTGAGGAAGGTTTTACATACATAGAGGTGAAGATGTGTCTTGAGGTGAAACAATAAATGATGATTCCTTGGTAGAAAAAGTGAATAAATAAATAATAAACCAATGGACTCAAACGCCTTTATCTATGATTGGTCAAATAAATATAATGAAAATGCAAGTGTTACCAAAAATCTTTTTCAATCACTTCCATTTCATCTACCTAACACTGTTTTCATAATAATAATGATTTATTGAACTAATTTATCTGGAATAATAAAAAGGCTGGACTCCAACTAAGGCTATTATTGTTTTACCAAATGAAAGTGCTTCCACTCCCCAATTTACAATGATATTACAGGGCTGCCCAGTTAAGATCAGCAATGTATTATTTCTCTGTGGCTCCCTTTCCAGCTTGGGTGTCTATTGGGCCGATATCAACATCAGGGCTTCCTCTTTAAGCACTGCTCTTCTTCAGCCAGGGCTTAAAAGCTAGACAAACACCTTTATAGTTGGAAAGGAAATTAATTTACAAGCGAAACTTTGTGTACTGGGAAAATACACATTGAACTTAATTTGAACTCTACACTCGGGATAACTAAACGATCTATTAGAATACTGATAAAGGCATTGGCAGCCTTTCTAGCTCTGGAGAGACTAACTTTTATTGTAAATAGGCAAAACCAGAACTTGCTGGCTTGTGGGAGTTTTTGGAAACTCATCATTTTGAATGACTTGAAGCTGTCTAGAAACCGCAGTGATTTCTTTTGTCATTTTGAAAATGTTTGTCTGATGTGTCAAATTCAACAGAGGACAAAGGGAAAGCTTAGTTTATCTGCTTCATCGGGACTGTGCGGGTGATGTTTGGTCAGCCCCAAACACTTCAGAGCAACGAGAAGGGCACAAACAAAAACAAATCCATAAACCTCTCAGAAAAGTCAACCAACATCGCTTCACAGTAAGAAGATGATTGAGAAAAGTTTTCAGTGCCTTGAAGAGAAACACTATTTGAATGAGGGCTGTACAGTGTAAATATAAAAACAGCTGGAGTGTTGACATTAATAGTGTAAATATAGAGATGAAATGCAGTGAACTATTCTCACTCAAAGAACTGTTGGCTGGCCGACTGCAGGTGTGTGCTGTTGCCGGCGAAACCACTGGAACAGTTTCCGACAGCGTTCCAGGTGTTGTTGCAGGACGTCCAGGGGAGGGTCGCTCCGAACGAGTTAAAGAAATAGTAAAGCGCCCAGCTCAAGAGCACATTGTAGTACGTGGAGAACACAAAGGAGATAACAACTGTGGCCAGGCCAACACCTGCAGAGTGACACGTAGGGAGGGAGGACACAACGTGAGAGACGACTCCGCAGAAATCATGCCATCTGTTATAACATATTCCTGTTTCAATTATTCGTGCCTAGGATCAAAGTTCCGGGTACAGACTACATCTCACATAAACAGAGGCAACAGAGAAGAGCCAGTATTGCAGGTTACAGATGTACATTATTCAGGCTTTTAACACCTGTGGTCCTTAGCTGTGCATCAGATTTCAGTTTGGGGAATTCAGAGCAATGACTCAGCTAAAAATCCTAATCTTAAATAGAGCAGGAAGAGGTACATAAACAAATGTGCGTATTTGCTGACTCGCTGTGAAAGTCTCATGTTTGGTAAATATTTAGCTGGAGCTAGCAGCAGGGTAGCCTAGCTTAGCACAGAAACAGTTCTGCCAACCAGCACATTATAAACTCACTAATCTACATGTAATATCCGATTTGTTACATCTTAACACAAAGAAGAAATGTATAAAGAAAATATGTGTCCAGCACATAACCCCCTTGTAATAGCAAATGGTTGTTTATACACATTATGTTTTGTACAGAGCGCTTCACGCTCTCAGTCAAGCTGTTTCAAGTCTTGATGCTAAGCAAAGCTAAGTGGCTGCTAGCCCCAGCTACATATTTACCACACTGGGGTAGAAAGGCATAGATTTCACATCTAACCCAACAAGAAAGCGAATGAGCTCATTCCCAGAGATGTCAAACTATTTGTTTGCTATTTGTTATTACTATCCTCATTCTTGATATTTTGCCTCATGTTGTCATTGCCATCTTTGTAATTTGAGAATGGTAGAGAAATGTTTTCCCGCTGACGGCAACACTGTCTTTGAAGGAAATGGCTCTCTGATTTTCAGCAGAATATCAAAACTTCGCTTCCTAAAAAACATTTTTTTCTACTGGTTGGAGACTGGAATTCCATGCTCTATCTATCGCTATCTGATCAAACAGCTCTGTGTAATCATAACCACCGAACAAAAGGAAACCCCGCCTGAGCTCCAGGATCAGCTATAGAACCACTTTGTATGGTCCACGTTAGGCGCTCCTTCCATTGTTATTGCCCGTTTGCCTCTTTCACTCTACAAATCTAGCTTACATGGCGGCTGACTGCTCCACTGGTGCACCAGACACACTCTAAGTGGTGAAGTCATTTTCAACTGCCAAAACATATCAGTCTGCTGGAGTCAAAGAAACGAGGCAGAGCAGGCAAAGATAGAGGGAATCAGTTTGAACTATCCTCTTCTGACTCTTCTTCATTAGTTTATTAAGCTGTCGTGCCTCCCGTGACCACTAGATACACTTACAGGGACAAACGAGACAATCAGCAAAATAGTGGCAGCAAATTTAACCAATTAAAATCATACATTTGTATGCTATGATTAAGCATACTGCAGTGAATTAGGCACAGGCATATTTGTTGATTTATGATAGATATCTAAAGCATCTAAATCACAGATCACATGTACATCACAGCAAACTGCACTGAGTTGGACTGGAAAGTAATTCAAAAGAACATAGAGAAAAAACGACCTGCTTTTGGCCCTTAACCAGGCATTAACCAGGAAGAAATGAGTGATAAATCAAGGGAAGGACCCATACGTTTTGACCGGGTAGATAATCTCTGTCTTTAAGGAGATAAGAAAACTATGGAGAAACTTTTTAAGTTAGAACAAGACAGACAGCATTTCCAATTTACACCCATAAGTATTGATTGTTGATGGCTGGGCTCTTGTGTGATCAGCCGGTTGACTGCCAGCCAGTGCTCTCTGGGTCCACACACGTCACTTCAATCATCATGATTGATTTACAATTTTGCAAATAACTCCTGGCCTCCATGATTTCATAGGCACTGTAAGCTTTTAAATAATCAACAAATTAGTTTAAAGAATGAACATGGACTTCAGTGATACTCATTTGATTTAATTATAATTCAGGTAAATCAAAGAAGGATACAATTCATGGTTCGGTTGATTTAATGATTTCTTTCTTACTGATACACATTTTAATGTTCGTTCAATTCCAGAGGATGTGTGATTAAAATGTTCAAGCTAAAGACTCAAGAGAAAACAGTGATTACAGCAGTGATTGAAATGTTCACTTGACAAGATCCCATCCATCAACATGTGACAACAATCCAATTCATTTGAAAAAGAAGGCAGAAAACACTGATGTTTAGTATGAATTATTGTATAAATGATTATTTGAATCCAGATCTGAATCAAATATACAGAGACAGATATGCACGGAGTACATGTGCCAGAAACTTTCATTGAAAGTCCTCTATTATTAACAAATAGTTTTCAAAACATTGCTGGTTTCGGAGTAAAAAAAAAAATCACTTGCTTCTTGACACATTGCTTAACTCTCACTAAATTTCAGTGAATTCTGGTCTTGTGTCCAAACAAACAAACACCATCAGGACCAAAAACAAGCCCAGAGTAACAGAACGGAAATATGTAAAATGTGCGAACTATGTGTACTGTAAATCAGAAGTACTAATGCAGTGGCCACTCAAAACTTGCCCCTTCAGTACGGGCTGAATGCTCGGTCTGGGGTGTTGCTGCTTGCAGCTTTCTCGAGAACCGCTCTTACAAACGACTTCGCCGTAAACACTGTGGTGTCTTGGGTCCTGAACAGTACAGCGGCCTTTAGAGATGCCTGTCATTACTCCTGAGAGGGTAAAGGGGTGTCAGCAATATTACACTGAATTCCTCCCATATAGATGGATCTACTGAAATCTGTATTTAGATACAGTGTGCATAAAGTAGTGCTGTTTGTTTGATTTTACTTTATGTACCTGCGCGTCACCACATACAGTATGTGACGTTTCCTGCTCCTTGTTCTGACAACCACCTGTTGATGGGAGCAGCAAATGCACTCTTCTGGTTTTTGTCCAACTAACAGTTACTGGTGCTAACTTTCACATCATGTTTAGTGCTGTAAATGTATTATATTTAATCAAGCCATCATGACTGCCTGTAGGTACACCAACACAGTTTCCCAATCTATTTGACAATATGTGTTATTTCCCAAATATTTTTATTTCTAACTCACACCTTAAAAAGACAATTGTGTTGTTGACAGCTATTGCAAAGCTACATCAATCATCTCTTTTGCCCATGTTTTGTCTAATAATTAATTTTTCATGTTTGCTGCAAATATTAAATACACAGAAATGTGTCAGCCTCTAATGAAATGATCTGGATTTGCCCTCTTCAGGATCAATCTAGTTATTTGTTTACATACTGTATGGGTTTCTCGGACTTTTGGATAATAATTCAATTTGTTCAACAATGGATTGTAGTAACATTTTTATGGTAAAAACTATATAAAGAAATAACTATTTGATGTTCAATAATTAAAGTTACCACTCTCTAAAATGTAGATAACAAGGATACGTGTCTGATCATTTGTGCCCGATACATGCTGCTGGTCATGGGCTAGACTTTGTAAACATACTTCAATAGCAAAAAGAGACAAACAAATAAAGAACATTGTCTGTCTACTGAAAAAAGTGAAATTGTAGGAAAATTCCTCAGATGGTCATCCTCGTCACCGATCAGCCTGGAGAGTCACTCACCTTTTAACAAGGGACAGATTTTGGCGAGAGTGTGCACTGGCCCTAAACGAGTGTACTGCCCAATGGAAAACTCCATGAAGAGCAGAGGAATGCCACACAGGAACATCATGGTGAAATAGGGGATCATGAAGGCACCTGAACCAGAAGAACAGGAAAGAACAGTGGGTGGCTGATACTACTGGTAAAACCTGATTAGATAAAGCATACTTACTCTATAACAGGTTTTTAGTGACTTTTTTTATTTATTAAAGAAAACATCAGTTTCTGCTTATCAAATTTGTCTGTTAAATTGATGAATCTAATCCCTAAAAACACATATACTGTTTATTCTCGGAAAGAAGACTCATACCTTATCAGCTTACTCATCTTTATTTACAATTGAAGGCTTGTTGATCTACAAACACACCTGTCATTCAGTGAAAAGAAAGGCAATCAATTGCGTAAGCTCTTGTTTCACAACAGCCGCGAGATGCCGTGCTGAATTGAATAACTGGATGTGTTACCTCGAGGACAGGCTTATTCTGTAAACCCAAGTGGTTTACAGAATGGTTGGCTGGTTGGATGACAAAAAATCATTTAATTAGTTATGAAAGATTAACACTCAACTGACACATGTGCTTCAATTTTGAATTTCAAATAAAAGCATGTTGGGGACACGTCGCAGTTTCTGTTGTTATGACTGTCCGTGGTTATGACTGGGACGATTGTTCTATAAAAGGCATTCATGAAGTCGATATCTGCCATCCTGCATGTGACTGTTCTTTAGGGCTGGGTAGGGAAAACTTTGAACAGGGCGGTCAGAATAGTAAGACAAATAACTTAACTTAATGTCCTTCTTTGACTTATAAGTACATGATTGTTAATCATGACTTTTAATATACACTCTGTGGCCACTTTATTAGGTTCACACCTTGAATCTATTGCAAGCCAATACAGCTCAGCCATAAACCTTTTGTAATGTTCCGTTTTTGGTGACATTGTCAGAAATGTGTAAATTGAAATACATGTTTATTATTTAGGTCATAATTAAAAGTAGTGTTTTACACTATATTGTATACCATATATACATACACAAGGGGGGCAAAATATTGGAACCACCTCTGAATTTTGGTCCAGCAACACCCTCAAGTAGCCTATGCAAAGTAGAAGGCTATTCCACTGTAAATACATTTGTATAACATTTAAATGTCTGTCTCCCTGCCATAAATGATCTTGCAGATCAGGATTATTAGAGCAAACCTCCATGACCTCTTAGACAGTCTTACCTCCACCGCTGCTGTAGCACAGGTAGGGGAACCTCCAGACATTGCCCAGTCCCACCGCGTACCCCACCGTGGCCAGAATGAAGTCCAGCCGCCCACTCCATGTGGGTCTCTGCGCCTCTGCGCCCACGGTTCTCTCGGCGACCACTTTGAGATCTAAGGGGTTCAGAGCATAATCTCCCTCACCGGGGGGCGTCTTTGGATCTCCGGCGCCGACCTCCATCGTGGTTTGAAAGCGATTGGAGGGCCTTGACGGCTTTTCCTTTACACAGTTACCGGTGCAGCGTTTCACTGTATCATACATCCAAAAGATAACCAATCCCGTTAACTTCTAACCAAACCAACAGCATCGATTCCGTTCAATAATTATCCCAGGGTAAAAAAAATAAACAAATAAACAAAGTCCATATGTTCTATGGTCTACTCACATTACAGACTCAGAGCGACACTGACTATCAATTTTGAATGAAAGCCTATAATATGCGCCAAGGATATCCAACAACACAACGACTGGTAACATGCACGTGCAAAGCCCACCACGTTTCCTCCTTATTCAACCAACTCGGTGTTTTGTAACATAACATACGCGCACTCTTTTATCCTTGCTGCTCCGGTCACTGTCGCGTTAGCAAGCTGAAGGCACACCTCTTTTCAAAATAAAAGCCTTGATGCGTAAAGCTCCGCTATGCAGTAGGCTGTGAGAACAGAGCGACCACAGCGATGACACCCCTCTGAAAATGGGAAGAGGTGGATAGTAGGAGCCGAAGCATGGATGTATACAACTGAGACAGGTCAGGGTTATGCTGGCCACGACCTTAATTATGCTTAACTCAATTGAATTTAAATGAGTGTGATAAATAAAGTACAGCTGTCATGAACTGGGATATTAGCTATAGAGACCATGCATGTTTATTTATGGTGTAAAGTTGGGTATTTTAACATGGGTGTCTTTGGAGGTTGACCTGACTGGTCATTTAGATAACTGCACTTCCTCGTGGGCGTCATTTCTTTAGTGTGTTCCAGCTGCGGCCTGTCGCACCTCAGTAGCCCCTCACGCTGCGCCCACCTCCACGATTCACCGTGGCGACAGGTCAATAAAAGGCAGAGGCTCCATTTTAATCCAGTTGACGTAGAGCTATTAATGCATGCAAATGTGTAATATGTGGACTGTGCACATTTATCTTTAAACAACAGCCTGAGTCCGAGAGGAAAAAGTGTACATTATAGCCTTCTGTCCAATTAATTCATCATTAATTCATTTTAAATATACTTGTTCAGCCTTAATCTGACATGGGCAAAACACAGGAGCCAACTGAAGATGTAAAATATTTGAAGATTTAAAAAAAGATATACATTGATCAAGGGTTGGATCAATAGACATAAGAGACGCTCACAATTTGATCCAGTAACAATGTGTTTGGTCATTTAAAGGTTGGCCTATGTTGCACTTTTCACAGTGACTCTGCGTACAATGCTTTTTTTTGGTGGAGCATAAATACTTTGCCCCAAAATGTGCAAATATCAAGCCTGGATTACAAAGTGGCCAAAACAAACAACTGCACCGGTATGTACACAATATGATGAATTGCAAAAAGGATTTTGCCCTGTGTCAAAATGTAGTCCAGTTTAGGAACGTTCACCATGAGCAAAAATGAAAGTATTGTGTTTAATCAAATCACAACTCAGAAACGGTCACACAAAAAAGCTCGGGCCAGTTACAACACAGGTGAGTACTGGTTTGAGTCTGAGTATTGGGTAAATAATGAAGGAGGGTATAGGAGCCCTACAACAAATTTGTACACAAGAAGTTGAATATAATTTATGAGGAAAGACAAAAAAAGAAAAGCTGATAACCTAAACATATCCTGTGTTGCATGCAGCTTGATTCTTTCGAAGTGAAGATGTATTTCCTCACTGCATGAAGTATTCACTTTCTGTTTTTCACACATGTAGAGGAACTCTCTGCTCTTTGTGACACAACTTGGAACCAATCAGAGCTTGTCATGAGACTACACAAGTTCCAGTGTTTCATCCCCCATTCAGCCTGGCTTTATTTTGCACTTCATTTTTATTTGTGATGTGTGTTCCAATATCTGTCAGTTTATCTACATTTGCAGCTTAATAGTTTTATACAATAATACATTTCATATGTGAGAGACCTAAAGCAATACATTGTTGTGCTTTGTTCTAGGTCCAGTACGGGTATCTAAAAAACGAAAGCACTTTTGAGGGGCTTTCCTCTAGCTTAATAATGTTTAGCCGCATTGCATGTTATTTTTCAGGCACCTTATCATAGCCATACTAATAAGAGCGATAATAATACCAGACAAATAGTATTAATCAAATAAGTGTAACAATAATGATTAGTAAAAGTGGTCTGAATTCAATGAAATAATAGTGATAATACAGTAATCAACAGCGTTCACTATGATCTATTTGTTACAGTTACTAAACAGAATTTGATTATGGTTGATGAAAGAAGAAAGACTGGAGAAAGGGGAGGAGACGCAAGGCAAAACTAGAAACCATGAATTTGACTGTGGGTGCCACTTCCATTATTTGGTAATGGGGTCAAAACGCCTTACAGCAAAAGCTGTGGTATATGTGGACAGACTGTGGCACCAGCACTAAATCCCTCACAATAGAAACTCTCTCAGGCATTGAGGCAAAAGGTCGAACTGTCAGTTGGCGGAGCTCTCAAAGAGGAAACTCTAGGTAACTACGTAAAAAGAAGTGTCAACACTGGTATTATGTCATGTCATTGTCACGGTAGTGTATAGAGAAGTCCAATACATCTTCATTTATTTCAGTATGTACACTGTGCAAACAAGTCCCACTCATTGTCAAATATACACATTGTTCAAACGAGGAGGCCATCTCTGCTTTATGCACACTGTAAACCCAGATTTAGTGCTCATTAATTATACTTTTATGTTTTATAAAACAGCAGTGTCGTTACTAAATCTATTTAGTTGTTTGCACTATTCAGCTGACATATTGAGTGCAATGATCATGTTTAGCAGAGATAACTTAGTAGGTTACATTTCTGTAAGGGAGGGGCCCATTTGAAATTCACTCGAATAAGAAAAAGTGCGGGGGGCAGCGCATGGCGAAGTGTCGAAAGGAGTCTGCTCGTCCTGGCTGCTGCGTCCGACCGCGTACTGTTACTGCAACTGGGTTGTTGAGCTGAAAGTTGAGCTAAAAGTTTTCCTATGTTCTGTTTTTACAGGTTCTTGTGAAGATGAAGTGGAAGTATTGTGAGTTTATAACTGGGAAAAGGTGTTCCCTGTTTAAACATGACAGGCCCGTTACATGCCCTTAATTAAGGTCCACTTATCTAAGATTCACCAGAAAGCTCAAGATGCACAACTGTGTGAAACTGCCCAAGTAACCTTTCACTGGCAGTTATGCGATTTTTCTGCACCCCGCACAGATGAAGTTTTTTCACTCACCTGTGCAGTACACATTTAACAGTTAATCACAGAGTCCACTGTCTATATAACGGATGTACTTTCATACTAATGTGTACTCACTTAATTGTGTACACATTTAATGCACATAGAGGTAAACAGCACAGAACAGATAATTGGAGGATGTTCAAGACAGAAATTCTGCCTCTGGTAGTGTAACTATTGAAATGGCCCAAGAAGAACACGGACCTCCAAATGACGCCACTGATTTAGAGGACAGTGAGGATTCCAGTCGTGAAGCTACTGAGGTTCATGATCTGGGGAAACAGTCGGAGCACAACTTAGCAGCTCTTTTTTTTAAAGATGCAAACAATCCTTATTTAGTCTTGACATGTGATGAGCATTCTCTGTATTTTACAGGAATTCTATGAAAGCATCGATGAGCACATTTTTCGTCTTTTCGAGATATCTAAAAGAGGAAGCTGTTGACAAACCTTTCACAACAGACCACGGTCGGTACATGTCCATTATGCATTTGCATTGTTTTTCACAGCTGATATAATGACATGTCACAGAAAGTGCTACTGTAGTAGTTGTGCAATACAATCAAAATTGTGTTTGGTTGGTAGAGCTTTCTCGTTCATTTTCTTGTCCATCTAGCTGTGTAACTTGTGTCGTCGCTTTTCCCCCCAAAAGACTACAGAGCCAACTGATATTCAACTGTTGTCCTTGGTGACAATCCCACAGACTTCTACAAACCAGCCTTTGTAAGTAACCGCTTACTTGACTCGCATACTAACTGCATCTCAACTACCCCAAGTCTATGACGCTCACGTCCCAGTTCATCCAACAGGTACTTCTCACATTGGGCAGCAGTGAACTAAAACCAAGTTAACAAACCTTGAATGACCAGCTTGCAATGTAAATAATGTATGTCAAGTATACTGTGAGAAGCCATGGCTGCTTTAGATTTTTCCATGGCACACCATGCAGCTGCAGCTAGGGGGTGAATATAGGTCCGTATATATGAAGTGGTCTCTAAGGAGGCCACACACACACACACACACACTCAAAATACGTAAGATGCTGCCATTTAAAAATGTTTTAGCAGAGCCTCTTTTTTTCTACCTGTCTGAATGCAAATATTTACATTTCAGTGCGTGTGTATTATTAGGATTGTAGTTTGGTAGTGTACATGTGCTATTTTTGTACTAATATTTAGGTCTTATATGCAGAAACACCTCAACCTTGGGGTCTGCTACCTCGTGGGTATTATTGAAACTCAAATGCTCACACGGGCACTTGTGACTGCTCTACTGCTGCTACCGGTGACATCATCATTCTCGGCCCTGTGGTGCTATCTGTCTTCATAACGATGATGACATGTAACCATCTCACCGGTCTACACTGAGGCAGGGAACATTATTGTTTAGTCAGCATCAGGTCACTACAACTTTGTGCCTCTGTATTCAGCATATTGTTAATGTCCCCATTTTGACCCTACTAGCCCCTCCAAACCTTAATAAGTCTTTAAGTACAACACAAAAGCCTCACATGGTTTCATTCCCCTTTGTCACCAATGATACTAAGGAGATGTTTAACAGGTACTTGTTATTTTAAATGATGTTAGAAGTGACTTATGCTAAATGAGGAGCATGAATGTTCCACCACTTGTGTTCTACAGTTTGCTCAGGACTGCATATTAGTGTTCAGTTGACTTGGTATGGTTAACCCATTCATCCGTCCTCATCCAGTCAAGTTGAACTTTTAGAGGCTCACATCCAGTTTTAGTGCCTGTCCGTCTGTGACCAGTCGTTCACACGGCGCCGATACTGTGTAATGCTGTATGTTGATATTCCTTCTCTAGACAAGTTGGAATTTTTACCAAGCAGTCCTAATGCCTGCTTTTACTTGTTTTTGTAAAAGGTTTTCTTTTTTGCTGCAGTAAAACATTTGAAGTGTTACAATGCTATGTTTTGCAACAATAAACACATTACAACATGAAAATGTATTGTTTAATTTCTTTCCTTCCATTCAATTTTGTTGAAACAATGCATTTAATCTCAAAATCAAAAGACATTACTTAAATTAACTAATGATCTTAAGTAGCAATAAATAATGTTATATTCGTGATTTGATATGTTTATGTATGTTGAACTTAAAATAGTTATTTAATTCAACTTAGACTCAGGAAAATAAATAATTTAAGTGAACAAATGATTTTGAGTTAAGATTACTAATGTGGATTTAAATATGTCTACTGCATCCATTCATGGTTCTATGTTAACACAACTTGACCTGTTTAGTTCCTCCATGTGTAAATACTTAAATGGTTTGAGGCAACGGGTTTCCATGCAATTTTCTAGTAAAGTCAACTAATTTGGGATAAGAGTGCAAGCTCTATCTCAAGCTGTCTCACTTATCAACAACATCCTCCTTATTACATTAACTATAGACCGCTCTGTTTCTCTTCCCTGTTACAGCTTTTCTCTGTATCGTCAGAATTTGTTGTGACAAAATGAAATCCTCACTTAAAAAGCAAACCAAGCTTCTTTAGCTACATGTAACCATAAATCAACACCTTGAATCATCTAGTGTTAATCAAAGAGTGGCATGACAGTAAACAAGTGTGAAATTACAGTAACAAAATCTTTTTGACCGTCTTATATTTTACCTTTGATACATCAGGCCATAGATGTTCACCCACATTACACCTACTGTGGGAAAACTACCCTGACCCCTTTTTAAATCTGACCACTTTAAGGCCATCAAATAAACACAATAATACAGAACTATTTCTCCACCAGAATAGGTGTTTCTGGCAGCTTGAAGAAAGCTTAAAAAACAAACATTTGTTGAGGAATTTAATAATAATACAAATAACATTATCAAAATGTAATTATTCATTTGATTGAATTCATTTATTGAAAACATTGTTAGGCTGTATGGTGTGTGGACAACATGTTCTGGGTATAGAGGATCATGACTTTGGTTTTTCTGAAATTCTGACTCTGGCACTGCTCACTGTGCCACAGTAGTTTGCGTTTTTTGTTGTTGCACATGTTAAAATCAAAACAAATGACAAATACAGATAATGTAGGAAATTAAAGTATTTCCTCTGCCACACTATTCATAAAGTTAAATATATCTATAAAACCTATATGATCTATAGGACCTTCAAAAGCACTATATAATAGTTCAATGTGTGCTCGCTTGTGTGCTATTGAAAGGTAATGTGGTCATTCTGTCAGTAGATGGCGCCACTGTTGTTCCTTTCCAGTTTGGGACCAAACCTCAGTTTTCTCCTGTTTCCAGGTGCTCTAGTTGAGCCCTTCCGCTTTCCGTACAGGAATTTGAAGACTGCATTACGTCAGTTATCCTGCCAGCGGCAAGGAAGCAGCCTCGTCCAATAGGAGCGTCGTTACTCTTTTACTCTTTCTGCGGAGCATTAAAGGGATTTGTGAGTGTTATTCTTTCCCGAGGTATTCAGAGCTGAGAGTCCTGGTTGAACGACGGGGAGGAAACTTTGAAGCGGCGCATCGCAGCTCTCCTGCTTCAGTATGACTCGTCTGTGAAAGGATTTGAATATCAACGACACAGAAAGTAGATGGAGGAACCAGAAGGTAAGACATATCTCATGTTGTAACTTTATACCGATGAGACATTGTCTCCGTACAGCGACATGTTGTAGTCTCTCGGTCAAGTTGATTCGATGTTGAACGTTTACAGCTTGTTTTTTGTTGGTGCATTTTCAGTGCTACGTCGAACCTGTTGTTTACTCACTTTTCTCCAAATACTCCTCAGGCTTTTTCAGCATGCAATGTTACTCTTTTGTCTTTTCTTAAAGGTACAGATCATTGTTACTGTGCGGGATGTGGAGGAGATATTCAAGACTCGTTTCACATGAAAGTCCTGCAGGACACCTGGCACACCGCCTGCTTCCAGTAAGTGTTCCGCTTTCTGGTTTTAAACTCGCCTGCACTACTCCGTGTAATGAGCTCTGCTGTGTTGTTTTCATAGAAAGAAGAGGGGTTACCGTTTGCATTGAAATGGACACAATTGTTGTTTTCTGTTGGTTGACCTGCTGGCTGCTTTCACTGTACGGGTGAACTTACAAATGGCCTTGTGGATAACCCCAGAAGCTTCTGTCTTGTAGCCTCAACATGGGCCTCCTAGACCAGTTTTTAACAATTACCCATTGTGTTGTGCCTCTCTGCACAAAATGCACCATGTGGGATGTCCATTGCTGCTACAGTCACAGCTGACCGACCTGTGCACAGGGACGGTCCAGGTTGTGGACTACAGATTGGTCAGTGAAAAGGTCCCACTAGGAGGAGGACTTTGCTCAGACTCTCGGCCCCTGAGGCTTAATGATTGCCACATTTGAGCTGATGTGAGCTCTCTGACTTCCACAGGTCACGGCCCCGCAGTGAGACATCTCTGCGTGGGGCAGTGACCTGTGGCTTCCTGTACATGCCAGCGCGACGTGTCACTCATTTGGTTTCCCCTTGATTAACGGTAACGTTCACTTGTTCTCATGTGAGATAACGTGGCTCAGATGTAAATGAAGCCGATTACACTCGATCAAACTGTTGCTGACTGTCATGTGAACATGAATTGTCACCGCGCCTGATTTGACACTAACACTATAAAATAGATGAGTAAGAAGTGTCTGTTTGGATCTGTGACTGTAGCCGATTGCAGCACAGCACAAGCCTCATATTGTGGAGTATATCCAAAAAATGTTTGGTTTTTATGGCCGCAGTCTGGCTCTGGAGGACTGCTGGCATGTCCAAAAAGCCTTAAGAATAGAATAAAATGAGTGCTGACTTTGTTGTCTGTTTCTGACAACTGAAATAGCTCTCTTGAAGTTTTTGAGCAAGTATCCAGCAGCACATTGTCCTCCTTCCTTACTTGTGCTGAGATTTCACTCTTTCCAAACACTCATCAGTGACTCATCTGGACAGCTCCAGGTATTCTCTCAGATGTTGAGGTCCTGACCACTGATCCTCTCCCTCCGTTTGTACTTTTATGCTCCCTCACATTTATTTGGCATCCTCCTTATTGCGGCGTCTTTGTCTGAAACGTCTTTCGTTACACTCCCTAGAAACTAAAATATATTAGATATGTTTGCGTGTGTGGGGGAAGCCATACTGCTGTCTCTGAGGTTTAGTTTCAAAATGTTGTTTTTTTCACACACAACAGCAATTACACACTCTGATCTCTGCTCACAAGTATGCTTAAAGACCTTAATCTCTGAGTTTGTTAAGAAAACTGTACAGCAACACGAAACAATATGTCCTTTTCTACCGCGATGCTCCCTGTGGTGCCCCTATTGTCTATTGTCCACATGCTGCCACTCTCCCCTCCGTGTACCTCCACCTTGTGGAACATTCTTACAAGCTGACGTCAACCGTGTTCCAGTAAACCCTGGCAGTGTTGTTGAAGCCTATAGGTAACGGCACTCTCGCTGTGCTCTGCATTCCTAGACGGCGATTCAGAGATGTGAGTCCGCCGTCTCAGACACTGGCTGCAGAGTCCTCCAAAGAAAGCTGGATGTTTACAATCAGGGCGACTGTGGCTAAGTGGATAGCAGGGCCGTCTTTCAATCAGAGGGTCGGCGGTTCAATCTCCGGCTCTGCTAGTCGCATGTCGATGTGTCCTTGAGCAAGACACTAAACCCCAAAATTGCTGCCGTAGCTGTGCGGTGTAGAAATGTGATAGACTCTGAATTGTAAGTTGATTTGGATAAAAGCGTCTGCTAAATGACTGTAATGTAATCACTGTATAGAGCTGCAGATATTATCGTCATACTTGGCCACAAAAATAGTGTTGTATTTCATGTTTTTAGGATTGGGTGATATTTAGTCCTTCTGATCTCTTTCATTTTCTGCACTAGAATATGAAATTATATTATTGTTTCTTCCTTTATGTTTTGGTGCCAGCTCTTATGACCTGTGTTTCCTTAAATGTTATGCAGGACAGAACGTACAAGTTGATTAATCGATAAGTCCATTGACAGAAATTTAAACTAATCTGATAGTCAAAGGCCAAAAAAAACCTAAACTTTTGCTGGTTTTAGCTTTTCAAATGTGCAGACTTGGTGCTTGTCTTTGTCTTGACAAAATCAGCAGGAATCAGAGGCTGTGTCTAATAACACACTGTCCCTGTGATATGAACGGAGAAACAACAGTCACTCTCCACTAAGAGGCTGTTGTGGGGAACATTTGGAGCACAGCAGTCACACACCCACAGATAAGGTCCCATTATAAGTGCAACACTCCCTCGTCAGGTCTTCAAGGCCACAATTTGAAGTCCCTCTCTTACTATCTTCACTTCACACTACAAACAAAGGAATACACTCCAGCAGGAATGCGGATATAAGGAAATGAGTCATGTTTACTTTGTAGTGTTTGTGCAGGCAGGACCATTGTGTTGTTCATTGAAAAACCACCTGATCTTGCACCAGCAGTCCCTCGAGACCAGGGGTCTCAAACTCAAGGCCCGCGGGCCGAAACCGGCCCGCCACGTCATTTTATGTGGCCCGTGAATCCGGCCAGCAGCAAAAATTTAAAATAAATAAATAAGTAAAAGTTAGACTTGATAATAAAAATATCCCCGTAGTCGAAATTATGAGACAGAAAGTCATAATTCTGAGATAGAAAGTCGAAGTTATGAGATAATTAAACACAGTCATAGAAGCAGCTCTTTGGCTGGTTACTTGACATGGAAATGTGTTGTGAGTACATTGAAGACTACTTTAAACGTGGCTTTACAACGCTTCACGTGGGATTGTGCAAACGCACCTGTGAAAGGATTTTAAGCTTTGAACAAAGTTATTGTAATAACTTGTTTGATATTTGCCTTTGATATTTTATATATATATATATATATATATATATATATATATATATATATATATATATATTAGTTTGATCTTTGATAGAGTAATGTGGGTTTCTGAACCCTAAATTAAAAGGCTTTAAGTTATGACAGAAATGTGCTTAAATATATTTTTACATTTATATAACTGCATGTACAATATTTTTACACTTGAATAAACAATAATCAAATGCAGAGACAGTTATTTACCAATATGTTAGGAGAAGTTACAGTCTTACAGTTACAACCGGCCCTTCGAGTGTTTTTATAAGCACCCGTACATCACTTTATCTGGATTTATTGTAGGGACGTAATGGGCAATAATTATAGTTTATCGGCTGGTTTTGTCAAGGAATGCTTTTTATTTAGAGCAAAGCAGACACGATGTACTCATTGGTGTCACCACCAGGTAATACTGATACTGATCCTACCAGTGCTGTTGTGTATCCTGCAGCTTGATCAGTCAGATACCGATGGCCGTGTTTGAGAGTTGGAAATGGAATAACTATATATCGGCAAATGTACATTTTCTAACAAAACATTCAACGTTTTTGATTTGGAATCCTTAGATTTGCGTGTTAAAGACTTGTGACCCATATATGTACCGTCTAAAGCCGCCAGTGCGGTCAAGCGGACAAACTGTGTAAAGGTTTCTAAATGACTGCAAACACATATTTTTGGGAATTTATTTTTTGACTTGTCAGCTGGTGTACACACCGATAATAATGAACCTGTGAGAATGTAATATCTCAAACCACGCTCTTGGTCGAGCGGTACTGTTTTGTAGAATTCCACAAAGCTTAATACACGATTAAAATGATCTAGGGTCCTAATTTCCGTAGTTTTCATGAACAGGAATAAAATGTTGTGTAGTTCTCCATCCAGATTGTTTGACATCACTCCCACACAGACGAACACAAATCAGATGAGTGGACTTTATAGCAGCTGTGGCCACCGCAGCACAGCTACCATTACTCATGCAGTCTCACCCTCATCACGTCATCGTGTGATGAATCGGGCTGAAGTCATCATTACACTGACCCTGTGTTCATTCTTGATAAAAGTTGCTTTTTATCTCAGGAGAACAGGCTGTTTGTTTCCACACATTATTTGTTAAAAGGGCATCAACACGAAGGCCCCTCTCTACACTACTATCTCCACAATAGACACAAACATGTGGTCTTCCCTCGGTAAGATGGCTCCTTCTTAACTTCTGCCAGAAAAACTTTGAACTATCTGGAATCTTTCCCAAAGTCAATGAGCCTGGATGAGCTTAACCTGCAGTGCAGCGAGCAACGCGCTGCACGAGGCTCAGCGGAGAGCGGCTGCACCACAATCATTGTTAAAAAAAAAAAAAAAAAACACATTCCCACTCACAGTAATATTTCTCATTTCATCTTCCATACTTGCATGAAATGGTTGCAGAAGACATACATGTGATATACTTAATGTCATCGTAGACACAAGCATGCGAGCATTCAGAGAGTGTCAGCAGAGCTCTCACAATCATAACCCTGAATTAGAAATAGTTGTTAATCAGGAAGTCAGTAAAGTGGCAGTTGAAGGTTTGTTATTGTAGGCACTCCTGGAAGCAAACCTGTGTGTTGCGTCACACCTGCTATGTTAGTTTTATTTTTGATCTGTACCCGAAGTCTCTGTTAGCATCTTTTGCTCAAATGAGCTACAAGCCAAATCAAGAGGTTGAGAAACTGTTGTTTGCAAAGTCTGAATGCAGAAATGGCACAAAAAAACTGATTTCAGCAGAGTTCATCGAACCTGCCGCCACCATTCTGCGTCACCAGTGCAGCTTCTTCAAGGAGCGCTCGTAGCTTTTTGGTGCTATCCAGTCTGCGGGCAGCATCAGCATTCCTCACGCTGAACATGTTGTCCCGAAGTAGCAGCCAAAAGATCTCCCCCTAATCCGCTCAGTATCCTCTCTGGTGACAGCTTGGCTCAGTCAGTATTCTTATGCTATGAAGTGGATTTGAGTCTTAATATTTACCTTTTTTAAACTGTTGTTTTTGTAGCATTTCACCTTTTTAATTGGAGAGTTGACGGTAGATAGTGACTGAAAATGAGTGCAGACAGATTGATGTTCATCATGTGATCACTGTCCCCGGTTGAACTCTTTTGTTTTTAACGGGCAGTAGGTTGTTGTCAAAGTGGAAGTGCAGTTTTCCCTCAAACAACTGGATCCTGTTCAAGGGCTGGAAATTAGCAAAGTATTTGGCTGCTGTATTGGTCGCGTGCAGAGGCTAATAGCCCAACTGTCCCTGCATCCACCTTCCACAAAGGCGAAGATTCTAGTTTCTTAAAGTCTTTTTTTCCCTCACTCTATAAAACTGCAGAAATAACAGCACACATGCAAGACCCGGCACATCTCAGGAGCAAGCTATTTACCTTCACCTTGTTAAACTGAGGGAAAAGTATAAACTGTCATTGTGAGGAACATGCCCCCAGCTAATGTCCCCGTCCTGTCCAACCTCGCTGTGATTTATGGTTTCTACACGAGCTCTCCTTTACTACTCCACGTCATTCTCTGGTATGTAATATGAGGATTTTGAGGTTTTGAGATTGATACAAAAAAGATGACATCGTTTGGGCGATGGTTCAAATGTTTTAACTCTTACCAAACTGCAAATGTCCCTTTTTGTCCTCAGTGTTTGTGTGGCGCTCAGATCTTGTGTCATTATGTCTTATTCAAACCAAATAATACATTTTCTGACTATTAAATTGCCAAAAAACTTATAATTAATATATATAAGGTCAA